ATATACATACACACATACATACATACATACATACATACATACATACATACATACATACATACATACATACACACACACACACACACACACACACATTCCTAGTTCTTCATGCTATGCAGGATGCAGCATATCATCACTGCTACTAATGCAGTCAACCAAGGAGATGGTGATCAGGATGAAGTTTGACAGCCCACAGGACAGGGAATGTAATAGCATAAGTAGCATTGCATCAGCTTGAAATTGTGTCATTAGCTCTGGTGCTCTGCGGGAAAATAGTTCTACAAAGTGGGAGCAGGAAGGACCTGACCTACATCTGTGAAACAAACAGAAACAAACAAAAGAGAGCAGCAGCATCGCGGCTGAGTCGGCGAGGGAGAGAGACGGAGATGGGAAAGTCAGAGATGGAGGCGGGATGATGGTTGCGATGATGGGGGTTTCCCGCTCTGTGGTTGACAGTCTTCTCAGACTCTCAGACAGAGCAGCGCTGCTCCCCTCCCGCACCCCCGACTCTACTTCCACAACGCCACGGAGGAAGAAAAGAAATGACCTTCACTTTGCCAACACGACCAAAAAAAAACAATATAGTTGTGCCGCCATGCGATATGTTGTATAGCAGAAATGCATCAAACTGCTACTGTTGGCGGTAGCGTTAAAAGCTAAGTGTAGCATCACAGCTAATGTTGAAGCCAATGTTTTAGTCAGCTTTTGTGGGGATGTCCAATCAGTGTTGATGGTAAATGTAGTCAATTATGAATACTATATTTACCAGTGGTGGCCCGTGCATTTTATACCTGCATGGGCCTTCTGTGCTGTCCTGCTGGCCTACTGAAAACACCGGCCGGCGAACGAAAGTGAAAGCGGAATGGCAAAGTAATATCAAGCAATATCTCACTTCTTTTTGTGATATTATTGCCTGGTATCCTTCCTTTCCTCCAGGCATTTTGAGCCTACATTTAACTGATTTATCCTGTATCGGATGTTTCTTTTACATTCGACTGACAACACACAACGTTCCCATGACTGGTTCTTCCGTTGTCTGTCACTTCTTGTGAAATGAATCGCTTCCACATCTTCACGAGGCCCCTCTCTGACTCCCTTGGACCCCTGACCTCCTGACTCTGCATGGCAGCAATTAACTTAAAATGTCATCTGTTCTCAGCATGATGTGCCCACCACGTGCACCGACAGGAGCTCAGCTGTAACACTGAAAAATTAAACGTGGAAATCATAAATCATTCATGGTATTTGACATGTGTTCACAAGCGGGTCATTAGCCATCCAACAGTTGAACCCAAAGCCACTTCCAAACTGTGTGAAACGCTCCCCTCCGGAGACAGACGGGAACCACTTTAAGTCCCATGTGGGAAACAAATCTATGCCAACACTCGCACGCAAGTGGGCTCCCTGATCCACTCTCCGGCCCCCCAAAGGACATGGCCTTACTTGATTTGTCCAATTTAATAATGAATGAAAAATGTAACCAAGCCCAAGTGAGGGCAGTATTTACAAGATGTGCATGTTCTGTCTCTTATGCAAAACAACATTTCTGCAATATTTCTGAAGGGGAAACTCCTTCTTGAGCTACCGACTCAATGGTTTCATGCCATTTGTTTTGCAAAGATGAACTGCTTTTAGAAAGAACACCTAAAACAGACAGCGAGGTTGTTGTTTTTGTACTTGGTCCACTGATGAATGGGACTGGATGTAACTCCTAATAAATGTGGTGGACTGGATGACATTCACAGAGACATTATGGGCCACTTGTTCCATCAATAGTGCAAAATGTAATTTGAATCTGAAGGCAGCAGAGAGCCTGCTGATAACTGATTTTAGTGATAGCACAGGAGTGTCAGGATGATGAGCCATATACTGAAGGGTTATTATATAAAGAGGTCCCAATACCGTTAAAAACTCACTATTGGGTATCACACACTGGCATATTGTGCCCCTGTTTTACTCGTGTCTTTCATCACTGGGCTCCTGATAAAGCCCCGTGTCCCATCTTCTTCTACTGACCTGCTGGTAGTTCTCTTCTTCGGGCTGGAAGCTGTTGTCGATGGGCTGCAACCTCAGGTTGATATGAGGGAAATTGTGAAGCCAGTAAGTCCACCAGGGCGCAATGTAATCCACCCGAGCCGAAGACATCCCTAACCCCGAGGAAGGAAAAAAAAAAAAAAAGTTCGGCCACAACCTGAATTAGCCTCCCTTCACTAAAGCAGGCTCCGGAGATCTTAACCCCGTCTCATATCAAACAAAGGCAATGATTAAAGCATGCTCGTTTGTGGAAACACACTCTCAGCTGCACGTGAGGGAAACCGTAGAAGTCCTGCAGAGTCAACGGTGTTGTTGCAAAGTGAAATCCGACGGAGATTATTATTTTTTCTTTTACATGGAAGAAGAAATAAATCACACTCCGACGACGTCTCCGCGTCTGCGTGAGGACCCCGAGCTCCTATCCGACCGACAGCTGCTCCAGACTCGTACAACAGTCACCAGCGGGAACGCGCACCGAGTCAGGACAGGAGGAGATAGCGTGCGGGAGCGCGTAAAAACGCCCCTTTGAGGAGTTTTATATATGCCGGCATGTTTGTGGCATGAGTGTTAAACAGATATACGTATTCAATGTGTTGTAATACTTTAATTTTGACATGCTTCATTGTTTTAAGTGTTGCTCCATTAGTTTATCTGCGGATTAAACTACAGCACTGCCACCTAGTGGTCAACTGAGACAATTACAGAAGACAATTCATGTCACATTGTAGCTACTTTTATCTTCCCCACCTGTAAAATAAACAGGTGGTCATTATATATGGGGCTGTCTTCACATCTGTGGACACTTTGTAACTACACTAGTGAAATCAAACCAGTGCTGGTTTTCATCCCATTGACTGGTCAGTTCATACATTCTGTAATCTCTGGTTTTATTATGGAAACCCAGTTAGGAGTGAGCGTTTCCTGGGGTTTTAGTAACACGTTTGTGTGACGCAACACCAGGGCCGAAACATTTTTGCAAGTGTATTGTCCTTGCTATACAATGTATGAATATTCAGATGCATCTTAGTCCTAATTTAAGTTTTTAAATAGACGCAGAGTTAACAGAGTTGCAGATGTTCCTATTAATTTGCTGCACAAATGAACAAATACATTTACTTGCGAGGCATTTCTGGAAAATCAAGTATTCAGTAAACTTTTTCTAATTTAACATTTACTGCTCAAAGCCTCATAATTCACCAGTGGTGATATAAGTACATATATGTACTTAATGGACATTTGATTAAAGAGTGAGATGTGACATAAGGCACGGTAAAGACGTTTTAGGTAAGAGTCAAGAGACATCTTTCATAACACATTGTGGATATATTTTAACACGTCTAAGGAATGGAGGATGTTCTCTTAACACACTTGATTCAAATTAAAATCTGACATCTCGTCGAAAGATGTCAAAACACCACGTGACCTATAATATTTTAACAAGCAGGAACACTATACCCAGGACATTGATATTAATGCAACATGATGCAATTCAGTTTTACAAATCCATCATGTCTGCATTACGGCATTCAATACAGCGGACACAAAACCACAGAGAAATTAGTTTTTTTCCAATTTTTATTACAATTATCTGTACATCACGGATTTACTTGAGCTCCTTCACAGCCAGACCTGCAAACACAAAGACGACAGATTAGAAAATATTCACTGGAGTAAAACATCACACCAGCAAAGACAGGAACTCATTTTCCTGTTGTGATTATTCGTTCAACGCGTTTGAAGGAATGTGTCATGAATACCCACTGATGAACACAGTTGAGAATCCGTTGTGGAAATTCAATTACCACAAACACTGTGCAAACATTGTGCAAACCCACATGCACCGAGTTCAGACACAGGTGACCATCAGATGCAAAAATCATTAAGTAGATCATAACGGCAATATTTAATTGGTCAACTAGGCCTATATACAGACGTGGGCATCAACTGCTAACTCCGCAAAAAAGGTGATTCATCAGGCTACACACCCAAACGTCTCCTCCTTTGTATCATAGACCTGTAGTCATTAAATGTGTATACCGTTCCTCTTAATCATGATTTATTCTGACTCTTGCTCCTGCACAAAGTTCAGTGGTCATCAGCACCAAGATTTTCAAACACAACATAAACCAACGAGGCAAGTTTTTACAACCAAGTTAGTTAAAAATCCTTCATTAAAACCCATCATCTACCCCCCAAGGACTTTTCCTATTTAAAATACTACAAAACCCATTTTATACTGTAAACAACTACAGTTTTATACAAATATTTCTACAAAGTATGCACTGGTTATGTTCCTTAAGCCCAATAAACACATTGAATCCATTTCCTACATTGTAGAACATCTGTGATGCGTTCCTCTGAATGCTCAGCAAACAGCCTTGTTTACATCAGTCTGACTTATTGTATTATTAGCACATTCTTTCCTTTTACACAGCATAACCTTCCTCTGCTGTCAACACAGTTGTATCACGCTATGCCTGGGATGGTCACATGCATGTGCATCCTTGTGCACATGCATGTTAAACAAAACACTCGTACAAATGTGTTCTAAGTCAGTAGTGGTTCAATACTCCACAAAGTATCTTTAATCAGACCCAGGGAAGATGCAACCTTAAAAACTGAACAATCTAAGTCAAATGTACATTATTAATATATTCAATGTCATTGACATCTATTTCACTATTTCTATGTTTTGGCAGAGACTGCATTTTCCAGATGTGTTGCATTTGCTTCACAAGCCGACATCTCGTCAATAACACCTGAAACTAAATAAAAACAGAAAGAAGAACACTGACCTGGGGGCAAGGACTGCTTGAGCTTCTCCGCCTTCTCCTTGTCTGTGATGACCAGGGTGTACAGGTACCTGCTGCAGCGCACCTTGAACTTTACATTGTCCTTGTTCTTCTTGATCTTTACGGCTGAAGGAAGACAAACGAGACAGTCCAGATCAAACTCAACAGGAAAATTAGCTTTGATTAAAATCACAATGGGTGTTTGAACAATTTCCAAAACCGACTGTACTAATGATTCATTTTGCAGGTCAATCATTTCCCACATCTGCTGAACACGCATGAAAATTGGAACTAGGAAGAATCCTTAAAAAGAAAAGTACCATTCAAGACAAAGAAAGCTAACAGTTTATTGTTATCCTCAACATATATTAACGTGTTTGGTTGCCTTTCACATTCTGACCTGCTGTGGACGACTCCAGGTTACACTTGCAAATATTTAAAATACATTTGAAGGATTAAATAACACCATCTACGTCCTCTGTAAGGAAGAGTCAATTAGGAAGGACATGTCTGGGCTGTTTTACTTGAACAAAGCTCAGGTGTACAGTTTAATATCTTGCAGTGGCAAAACTGCAAGTTGTCACCTGTCCATCCACCTTATAGTTAAATGGGCTTACGTGTATATATTAAGTAAACTGTCATTTACAACTAGTACAGAGAGGTTGGACTGTCAACTTACACTTGGCATCCTTCCTCCTGGCTGTCAGCAGGAAATCTTTGATTTCTTCAATTTTGCGAGGCTACAAATGAAGATCAGAGAAAGCACAGTTATTCTGGAGGGCAACAAAATCCACAGATTGAGAATTAACAACAAAGTGATGTTAGGGGACCGGTGGAACTGATGTTTCTGCTAGAAATCGAAACCCAGCACTAGGTCCATCGTTACTCTAGCAAGACTTTAAAAGCATCACGAGCACATCAGCCTGAGATGTTTGCATATCTTGCTGACGGTAAAAACAGGACTTATTCAAAGTCTCACTAGTAACTGATCCTGGGCACCCATGGCTAGTGACGTTGAAGCCTACATCAGTTAGCTAACATCTTTAGCATAGTAGTTTTAAGAGTATTTACCTCCGGAACAAAGTGGTAGTTTCATATTAGTTCTGAACTGCTAGAGCTAACATATTTAGCTAGCCTAGTAGTTTAACGAGGACATGCCATTCTTGTGAGACAGGTTGTAGACGGTTGGCCCAAGCGAGCAGCAACATGCTAATGCTAATCACAATTGCTAGCCGCTTTATAACGTGACGCTTTATATATAGATCAGCACAAACACATCTCACGTCGAGCCATGTCCACGGGAACAATATTCAACATTTGCAGGTATGCAGACGTAGCTTTTCCAAGTAGTTTAATGAGAAGTAGTCCTTACCATGCTGCCGTGTCAGCGGACTGAACGCTGCGGAAGGGCAGAAAAAGATGGAGTCAGTTCATCGGTTATAACAACGGGGGAAAAAGTGTTGGAAAGCAAATAAGTATCTGGTCATATTGCTCCTATATTGATTATGTGTAAATTAGCAGGACCGAGGATATGATTATTAGTATTAAAGAGGATGGATGATGATATAAATTGTGATTTCGTTTATGTGTAAATGTTGCACTCACTCAGTTTGCCAGAGAGGGGATGAAAAGGGGTGGAACTTCCGGTTATGGAGGAATTTATACAACACTACGGCAAGTACAGAGAGACAATGTTAAGAAAGAAAAAATGCGATTTACCCGTTCTAGTTTGTAAGGTCAAATAGAAAGTGTGTTAAGGTATACCGATATTAGAGGTTAGTCTATTCAAAATAGGTGTTAACTATTGCACCTTTGTACTGTAAGCTAATGTCTATGCTGATGTGAATATTTGATACACTCTATTTTTTTGTAATGGGAAAGCAGTGTTTGGCTTTATGGCTTTTACACAGACAAAAGAAGAAAACAAAACAGATTAGGAAACTGACTGAATTGTGATTATGCCAAAAGGCTACTTTAAGATTATACTAGAGTAACTCAACCTATTCAAAGAAAAGTTTTCAAATTAAATGTTGCCTTTCTTTGCCCAAAGAAGTTGTCTACCTTCTGTGTGGCGCTTTTGTCGTCCTCCAATTCATTACATTGTTTTTCATCAAGCTCTACCAGTGAAGCAGCAATAGGCCATGGACGGTTTCCTGTTCCTCTACCTCAGTGAGTGATCATAAAACCTCATGTGCCCTTTCTTCTGGTCATGTAAGCTGCTGGTAACAGCTGCTGGGAGAACAGTTTGACACTGACTGCAGTAATGGATGCACTAGTGTGAATCAATCCCTTGCCCTGCACTGAGGTCTTTGGAAAGTAACTCTGGACAAAGTGTATTTTCACTGAATGCTAAAGGAATTAACCCTTCCAAACTGATTCCATATTGGCTCCAAAATACTGAGGCTCCCCTGTGGAGCTGGTGCGCCACCCTATGGTGACTTGAAGCAAAACTTAATTTTATTTGGGCACAAGAGATAAAACTTTGTAGCATTTCACAAGAAAAGGCATGAATAAAAGAAAATTCAGGGAATCCCTTTTTTATGTGTAGCTATTTTTATTTCATATTTACTATCTTGAATTTGTGACTCCCGGCCGACTTTGTGTGGAAGCACTGATGTTTCACTGTTTCAAAGCCTTCTCCACACTGTCAGGAACATGATTCTGCTGGAAAACTAACTAAATCACTGTAAAAGCAGATATGTTTTTGGCCAAAAGCAGTTTAATTTCAGATGTAGTGAGTGAAAAAGGGAAGCACATCAGAATCAGCCTTTAAAAAATCTATCATGGGCAATTTCTGTAAACTCCTGCTCAGGTCAGATAATCTACAAGATTCCCAAAAAAAAGCCCCACCTGCTGGCAACAGAAAAACAAAGTGGGAAAAAGGTCATTTAGAAATGTATATCATTTTGTATTAATGCATGACATAAAAAAACACCTATTGTTATTTAATGATTTCGACAATGTAAGGTCAGTGGCTGAATCTAATAGATTCAAAATGGTGTTATATTGTGTTTGGCTCCCAAAGTATTTGAAAGCAGGTGATTCAAATGTGATGCCACTTGGGGCTTAATATCCTGTTGCACAGCTGCAATTTGATTGGCTAATTGAAAAGTAGCGTTGCCTGCACTTGCTCTTAGTTTGCAGAAGTCATTATATATTTTAAAGTAGGCTAACTGTCATCACCGTGAACTGTGTGGATTATCTTCTATACCGCTCGAGAAAAATGTAAGACTTAACACCTCGATACCCACCAGCCACCAGACACTGTTATAAACCAAACCTCTGGTAAAATTGCCTCTGGGTGATGCAGCATTCCTGTTTTAAGAAGATAAAGCAGCCAAAGTAAGCTGAATTCAGTCCATTTTACTAAGTGGGTTTGACTCGTGAAATGGTTTATGTGCTATGTGAAATTAAGCATCCATCTATCTATATTTACATGTACTTTTTCTTTTGTTTTTCTCTTCTTAAACTGAGTTAAAGTACAAAGAGGCAGTAAGCCCAGAGGCCCAATTTGTTTCCTGCAAGACTGCTTGTGTTATTTGTTTTACTTGTATACATTCTGTCAGGTATTTATTTTTGTTCCCAGACTAACCGTAATTTATGGTGCCTCAGAAAAAGCTAAAAGATTCGCCTGAGACGCCTCTGAGACACACACACACGCATGCACACACACACACACACACACACACACACACACATCCAAACCCGCTGACTTATGGGTTCAATTATCTTTTACAGTGAAGACAGATAAATCCAAACGCTGCCAGAGTAATAAGCCTTTAAGTACATAAATGGCTCACACTGAAGGTATTCCCATCTATTATCCCCACTTCTTGACAAAAAAAATAATTCCATATATATCTGCAACAGCAGAGCACAATTAATGGGCCAATCCCACGAGATGGTGAAACACATTTCTGCTCGGTGGGTGTCAGTTTCCTTTTCCTTTTCTTTGGCTTCAGGTAATTTCTTGCACATACACTTTGTTTTTGGAGGAAATGGTTGTTGCTCAGGAAATGGCAATGCACTCGCTGCACTATTGAATACAGATTCCAGTATAGATGTTTCTCCTGGAACCGAGTTCGTTAACGAGCCCCATCAGCTGAAGACCGCTTTTAGTATTCACGTTTCAAACACGACAGGCGAGCTTTGTCAATAATTTACACCGGGAGCTCCGCGCGAGCCGAGCACATTTGGTCGTTAAAGTTTTGAGTGACACCTCGGTCCATTTCCGCGGAGATCCACCTTGACACGGCATTAATTCATAAAGACAGGAGACATCAGATCAGTCGCTTTTCAATCAACCTGCTGTCTACGTGTCCACAGGCCATCTTCACCCCCAGTGTGGTTTCTGTCGGTAATTGTTCAGGGTTTTGGAGGAGGCCTCTGTTATCTCCTGCATCACAAGCTAGAAACACACTGAGATGTTTTCATGCCTTGTTGGTCTGTGTGCCTTGTTTTACAATTTTGAACCGTGTTTCTCACCACATCAGGGACTAGAATTAACAGTTTAGTAGCCCTACTGCTTGCAGCTCTATATTTTTTGTCCAACTGACTTTCGGTCACAGGGCTCCTTGGCACAGCTGAGGGGACGTGAAGGCAACTCTTAGCTTCAGTAAAAGGACGCTGGATCGTTACTCCATTCTTTAAGATGGAGGAAGATGTCCTCCATCACTGCTCAAAGACTGAGGTACGATGGAACTGCAGGGTTTCATTGTTATAGGATTGTATGGACAATATGAAATCTGATTTCAGAGATGGATAGTGAGGATCTCATAGGCTACATCATAAAATATAAAATCAACATGGTGAATATCTTTATACATAACCATGTTTAGTTCTTATTGGTTTTACTTTTCTTATTGTCTGGGGTCCAACAGATATTGGTGTTGGAGAATATTTAGTGACATATTTGCAACAAATGAGCTTGATGAATACAGAAATGACCAAAAACCAATGTTATTATAAGAATAAAGAAATATTTCATGTTTAAAGTTTGATATGGTTTAAGCGTAAACCAATATATTCCTTCAGTTTGCCAAGATGTCATTTACAGGCAAAGAAATGGACACTAAATAGTTATGCTACTTATGTTTGGGGTCAGTCGGATATGTCAATGAGAACAAAACTCCAATAACACAAATTGTTATTGGACGGGTTTTGCTGCGTAAAAGTACTTTTTATAACAATTGTATTTAACCATGTTTAACTGCTGGGGTGTCTGTGACCCCAAAAAGACGAAAAGTGTCATGTTTAGAAGCAATTCTGATAAAATTAGGAAAAGTCATGATGTATCAAGCTGATAAAGCAATGCTGAGTATGCTTTTTTTGAGTTGTTACACAGGCCTCATGTTGATTATATCTTATTAATTCATGTATGTGAGGGTGTGCTTTTTCAGTACCTCTCCTATAGTTATATTGTTATTTGTTGTCTTTATTGAGTGTCTGAGAGGGATGGATGTATTTCAGTAATAGTGCACGGGGAGGATCAGCTCAGCCTCACAGATTACAACAAATGACCATGCTCTGTTTAACTAAAGCTCCTCTGCACCGGCATGATCGTTATTCCATTTGCACAGAAACGGACGTGCTCCTCCGTGCCGAGCTCTTTGTAGAAACCCAGCGTGGTTCCAAATACACATTTCTCACACTTGCAGCTCTGCTCTCCTGGCAGAAGAGGGCAGCGGGTAACCGCTTAAACGGGGTTCGGACCGTGTCTCATCCTCCCCGTGACGACGGGAGACGCTGTGTATCAAGGAATGGACTCCACTAGTCACCAGCTCTCATCGCTCTGGAAAAAGGGAGTGATCACAGGGCTGGATTTGATGCAGGATGAAAACAAACATAATTTGATGTCATTTAAATAGATCCCATATAATCAGGCTCAAGCCCTAAAATCCTCTATAACATGGGATCTTTGGCCAAAAACACGCTAAGACTCTTCTTGTGAATACAACTAAGCTGTTTCAGCCTCAAGATATTTGTGTCTTTAGAGATATGGACGTTTTTTCTGCCTTTCTTATTATTTGTGTTTACAAAAGATGGATTTGTTGAGCCTCGGGCAACTGCTAATTTATTTACTTTGTGATTTAATTTATTCTGCACGGAAAACTCATTTGAAGTCCTTTCATTTTTGGACACACCTGGTATTAAAACAGTACCCCAAAGAAAAGATAATCCCCCTTTTTTATGTTTAGTTAGTAAAGAGGGATGCTCGCACTGTGTGACTGTGCGCTGGCTTATTAAAAAGGCATAGTGGCGGGGGGGGGGGGGGGGTAAAGGAAGAAAAATAATCTTGGCTTTTTTACCTGTAACAGACATGTAGAGCGTGGATGATGGAGCCGTAGACATTATGGGTCGTGACACATTCTTTCTGCCTGCAGGGCCTGTGTGGTTGACAGTAGAAGCGACTACCTGAGAGCTAATACAGCAGCAGGTGTCTGTTATTAATCACGACTTGATCTACGCATGAAAGGCAACAAAAGATCCAACTAAATAGTTTATTGAGCCACCATTGTTTGATTTCCTTCAGTCATGAAGTCTGTTTTAAACATCTAGCACTGTAAAATAGAGCAGAGGTGGTAGCGTGTATGTAAAGGATGAGCTGTACCTAAAAAGTTGTTATTC